CTGTGCACAGACATTTATCAACGGCATGTGGACATTCTTTTCATAAGCATGCTATGTGGGTTAATAAAATCCTGTCAACTCGCTTTCCCTTGAGAAGTTCAGTGTTGTAAACCAACAGTTTACTTGCAGCATTCACAGGGGTCCAGGGGCTTTCTCACATCTGCTGGGGACAGGCCACCCTCCCGCTGCGTCGCCTCCCTTGAGGTCTTCTCTGAACAGCCTTGTCTCGCCTGGGCCCTGTAAAGCGCGCAGCGGGCTCTGAGCTCCGACCTCACCTCTGGGAATAACTCGTGGCTCAGTTTGTTGAGCTAAACTAAAACCTCAGCCGCAGCAACGAATTTTCAGGTAGACTTGAAATGGAAATACGTGAGATGAAATATTGTAGAATATTTGAGATGTGAACAAAATTCATCTCCATTTTTCAGTTTTCTGTGTTAGTATAATGTGTTTACATAATAATAAGATTTTTCTGTGTTTTCTGTAGCAGTCATTTTGATTTTAAGTATGCAACTATATGTTATTATAACTACATTTAGCTACAAAATATATGAATTAATATATTAATTTCTGTATCAAAACGTATGTTTTGGAAAAAAAGCTTAGATTCCATGTCTCTCTTTAGAGAGTGAGTACTCATAGCACTTGGTCATGCAAAAAGTGGGAGGCAAGAGTGGAAGAGGTGAAGGAAAGCAAAGAAGTAAATTCACCTCTGTTCTCCCCTAAGACCTGTGCTCAGTCCTTGTATTAACTTAAGAAAGGGATTTATTTTCCTGGTTGTGTATCTTTTAACCCAGCAGTTCAGGCATATAGTGACACGGTGTAGCAAAGTTTCCATTTATGGCTTGTTTAAGCAAGATAAACATTTCTAGGTGGTGCTGGGAATACCTACACATAGAAAATTCAAGAGGAAATATCTTCCTGCATTGTTTCTTTGTATTATCCTGCACACCTTTCTCACTTTTGCAATAAAATATACCTCTGTAACAACCTCTGTTGTTAATACAGTTGGTAGTCAAACTTCACAGAAGTTTTCTTCCTTATCTATGACTTCCAACCCTTCTTTTACAAACTCTGAGATAATAAACCTAATTTTTACCCCAGGCTTAATTTTTACTCTGTGATCTGTTTCAGGGCAAACTTTTGTGTGTATTTGTGTGATTAGCTTTGGTAAACCAAAAGCTTTCTTCATGCTTTCTTCATGCCCAATTCTATAATGAAAAATGAGGTATAAATCAGCATTTACACTGTTCAGGGCTCCTGAAAATGCTCCAATTGATTTTGGGCTGAATCAACCTTCCTTTTACTCATGCAAAGAAGGAATGAAGCAAAGGATGGCCAATGGTCAATGTCTTCTCTCTAAGAGTAGAGAAGAGTGGATACTCAAGGGAAGAACACAAGAAACAATGCAAATATAGGGAGGATGAGGACTACTAAGTCCAGTATCCCATCTCACAGAATGCAAACAAAAGGAATTTTGAGAAAAAATTGCAATACTTTTAATCCTTATAGTTACTGAGTATGAAATATGATCTATGTTCCAAAATGTAGGTTAACATTAGCTTCTGTAACTCTGGATACTTTCATTATCCACCAAAATATCCAATGCCGAATTGCATCTTCTGCAGTTCAGGTCTCATGCATTGTGGCTATGAGTTCCATAATCTAATTGTGCTCCGTGTGAAAAATCATTTTTTACTTGTTCTAATCAAGTAATCAATCAATTGAACATCTGGTTGTTTTTAATGACAGGAAACAGAACAGAAAACAAAAGCTGTTGATCTGCCTTTGCCGAGTAATTCAGCTTTTGCTATGTCTCTCTCTCTTTTACTGCAATACCTATTCTTCACCCAAGGGGTCTGACTCTGAACGTATTAAAAATGGATGCCACCAGAGCTATAGATCACAGTAATTCTGGCTTTGATGTGATGGTAAAAGGATGTCAATGTTTCTAAATAAAAGCTAGAACTAAATTGTTTCTGTAGTAAATTACTGCAATAGTGGTATTAGTGCCTCATTTTTCACATTTTGTGCTCTTTGGATAAAAGTAGGGAGCTCTTGGAGAATGCAAGCAGATTGTTATATATAGCCGAAGTATTTCAAGGTGTTAGAGGTACCTATTGCTACTATACAATCCTATGGAGGACAGGCAGGAGATAGCACTGCTCTTTCTGCACAGTAATTTAAAAAAGAATCACTATAGTCTAATTTTACATGTGAAAGATTATCAGGAGCCAGGCAATCCAATTTTAATGCCTATTTTGCTTTGTTTTAAAAATCTCAGATGGGCATGCGGACCGAGCGTTGCAGTAACTTGAGTTTCCAAAGGCAGCCTATAGGAAATATGTGCCCAACTCATCCTGAAGCATAAGGAAACCTAGCATCGATGAGAGCCCCTGTAGATGACTGGAAAACCCCAAAGAAATGTTATTTCTCTTTCAGAATAATTATGCCACTATATAAGAATGTTTCTTATTGTAAATAGAAGGCCAAAAAGCTTCTGCATTTATGTAGATTTAAAATAATAAAAACAGCTATTCAAGGTCTAGAACTCTACCACTAAGTTAAGCAACAACAAGCTGGAGCTCAATTCTGCAAAAATTATTGTCATCATGCATTAAATAAACAGAATCCTAAATCTTGATGGAGTTAGAGTGAGTGAGACCAAGTTTAATTTTGTTAAATCCTTATCACCTATAATTTGCTGGAATCCTTAGTTACCCAGAGCTGCAAGGGATTATGTAATCAAGCAACTACACACTGGATATCTGCAGTTTCCTTCATATGCTCCCAAGCTATCAAAACACTTCTACCCATTAAAGAGAAAAAATTAGGACCTGAAAGGTTCAATGTTAAGACTAAAAAGTGTCATAGGGAGATCAAGGGCAACACTGTGCCTTCAGCCTATGTAATAGCCGATTATTCTCAGATCTGTCAAGAATTGAAGCAGCTCCTGGAGATAAAGATCAATGAGAAATTATTTTCAGGTTTAAGAAGATATTTTGCCCACCACTATGACATCTGGCACTGTAACAGGAAATGATGGTTTTTGGAAAGCAATGCAATAGATTTCCTTGTAGCACATGCATTAGCAGGCCTCTGCAGAATGCTTTGCTGTGACGCACTCTGTTTCTGACCTGCCTTCTGAAATTCACTACTGCACAAAAGACCAGATAAGGCCTTCAAAAAGCCTAATGTTCTCAAGGGGTCATAGCACACCTCTGAGCTGCTGAAGTAATCTGCTTCTTCTGTAGTCCATTGGACTTCGTCCGTATAACTGTACTAAGATGAACTTTGGTGTGCGCTATTGGAAATACAGCATACGAGAACTCAAAGAGGTTCCACCCTTCCTTGATATTTCATGACTCTCAGCCCCTTTTGTATGCATATAGCAAAATGCTCTTTGTCCTAGATGTATTTTCACTTTGATGTAGATAAGGACTTAGCTCTTTCTACAACGAACAGAATCAGATTAAAATTAAAAAAAAAAAGGAAAAAATGTTACATTTAAAAGGAATTGCAGAGAACCGTTACTTTGATTTTACTTATTCACTGCCCCAAATACTTTAACTGAAACGTTATTTAGATGTATTCTATAACCTGTGTATTAACTTGTTCAATAAATATTTATTTAAAACATACACCCTTCTATAACTTAGCATGCATTTTGATGATCTCATGTAGTCAATGTGTTTTTTTACTAATTTCTACATAGTTCCTTTTCTAATGCATGCTTTCATTTCCTCATTTTCTTGGCAGAGAGGTTCAGATGTCTCCCAAGCATTGCAGGAGTTCTTATGTTCATTTTGCTGTAATTACAGTCCTGGTGTGCCCTGCCATTTCCTTGACTTGCGTTCTGGTTCGTCACACAGTTTCTGTATCTCTACCTGCTTCTCTAGCTCTTATGTACACACTGTATCTTCATCTCAATACTTTTCCTTGCAAAACCTGAGTTGTGTAATATTTGCCTCCCATACATAAACGTTTCCTCCATCTTTCTGGAGAGCTGATTTGTGTTGTCTTTCCCAAGTCCTGGGGATCTTGTTAAACCTTCCACGTGGGTTAACACCATCTCACTGTGGCCAGACTGCTACAAGTCCTGCTGGTCTAATTTAAGGCTACCTGACCTGTATCTGCACCACGCTGCAGCCACATCTGACTGACCAAGACTCAGAATCTGCCACAAAGTCGTCTAGAGCCCACTAACACTTTACTTGGCTCAGTGCAATAACTACAACAAAGACCTAATCCTGATTGACCAGTAACTGTCCTGGCTGAGCACATAACATAATAATAAGCTGATCCTTTTAGGTTTGATGGTTTTATTTTTCCTGCCAGCACAAAACATACGATGAAAATTGGAAAATGAAGCACTGCATATATAATCTAGCTCACTCTATGGTAGAGAGATAAGAAAACAGCGTGCAGGGAAGAGGAGGAGACCAGGACAGTAACCTGGGACAAAGGGGTCAGGACACTGGATCAGGGAGAATGACACGTGAAAGCAGAGGCATATTTCCATATTGAACTTTGAATGTTTAAACCTACCTACACATAAAACGTGGGAGGTAAGGCATGCCACTTGTGGTCACTCTGTGATACACTTGCGGTACAAGGAGATCTGAAATCAGCTATCTTTATCCCAATGCCAACAAAGTGTCATCTTTTATTGCTCTTTTTTATTCTCCACTTCCTCCTATTTATAACATATACAACCCTATTTCTGCTACCTGTCAAATTTCACCCATCTTAAAATTTGTGCCTCCAGACTTTTCCCAAAGTCCATCATAATGCCCTCTTCTTAAGCTTCTTGGTGGATAAAAGCCATGCCAACTGCAGTAGCGTCTAGACTGGGCAGACAGTTTTCTGCTTGGTAGGTTTGGTTTGCCTCAGAGTGTGGTATTCAATGGTTTTAGGTCTGTGGCTGCATCTTTTTGCCACCTCCACTCTGGGATCAGAGCTGATGCCCTCTTACTCACAAGTAGAACATGGGCTATGGGGTATACATTATATTTCAGACACTGATTTTATTAATATCACTGCATTAACATTAAAAGAGTCAAGAGTTCAAAATAAAATACAGCAATAGAAATAACCACAGTTACAGCAGTATTTGTATCACACTGAGCTAATTTATGCTTTAATATTAAAAAGTGCTTTCCCTTTAGTGCAAAAAAAAAAGTACAAAAGAAAGGAAAAGGTCATTTCCAAGCAAGAAAGTTTACTGCGAGGATACTATCTTTCCATTGGTAGTTCTTCAGCTATTAACCTCATAGGGGAGTTGCCAGAATGTCATATCTGATAGGATAATAGATAGCAACTTATATGAGCAGTGCCTTGAATTTGGAAAGCTAAAAGGAGAATAGTATTTACACAACCCAAACTGAGGCATGTGATGCCTAAATTAAGAGGCTGTTTTTTCTACATTCCTTCCATGGTCAGAGAGGTAATCTTCCTGAGAGTCCATTTAAATCAGGTTTCTGCTTCTGACACAGACATTTCTTTCTCTCAACTGACTGCTGAAGGACACTGAAGAGATTTGCTGCTAATGTAGGCGTGTAAGCTGCATGCCTAATCCTCTCTTCCATCCTTAAATTGCATGCAGGTTAGTTGCCCTGCCCCTGCAGATTTCTCTAAGAGCGAGGCCTTACATATCTGAGTGGTGCCCTTTGAAGGCAATGGTAAGAAAGTGAAGGTAATGGGAAAAAAGCAGAGGGACAGCACACTTGCATAAGGAGCGCTTGCCTGCACTTCCTTACAGTTTAAAGCAAGGACTTCTCCCCCAAGCACGTCTCCTCTTTGCTAACATCATGTCCCCAGAATAGTGCTTTCTTTTACAGGGAAATTCCTGATAAAGGCATAAATTTATGTCCATCAGACACTTGTAGAACAGAGGAGAGACAGTTCTGAATGGTGAGATTCTAGCTGAACGAAACAGTTTAAACCATGTGAACCTTAACAATCTTTTCTAAGGGACACTGTTATCCCAGCCTCTGTTTTCCTCATTGCACGCTCCTTTAGTCCTCTGGTAAGCGAGGCTTCAGACCATGCCTTCAGTGGCCACCTCCAGGGGCCTGCTGGAGTGCAGGACACTCCAGCTCGTGCTGCTACTAATGGCCCTAAGTCTTCAATAGGATTCATTTTTGATTGTGGCACCAGTGGGTGATGGAAACTGTTCTGGGAAGGTGGAAGGGAATATGTCTGTTCTGCAGTTAGTTGCTTTTCCGAGTTCAAGGCTACTGTCTGCCTGGCAGCCTATCTCAAACCTCAGACTTATATGCTCTGAGCATGTTCGTATCATGCGGAAGCCTAGCCTGATACAGCCATCGCATCTGCCATGCCCTTTGCACATGCAATTTATCTATCCAGGACTAGAGAGGCCTCCAGTCAATACTGTGTTCATGGTCTCCAAAATCCTTCAGAGAGTCCTGATGTAATTTTCATTTTTATACAGAATCATGCATAGCAAATACCAAGGCAATTTTCACTGCTTCTTTGTGGAGCTTTGCTGATGTTCTTTTCCTTTATTGGCTACATGCTGTTTTCCTCAGAGGGATATGATTTGCCAGGAAAAAGCTTGTGAGTTTTTGGGGTGCAATTTTGTCTTGTTGTGCAGTCAGTAGCCTTGGTGTGTTCATTTACTTGTAACCTTGCACCCACAAAAATCATAGTGTTGCTCATTAAAAGCCCACTTTGGAAGATATTAGCAACTGAACATTGATATGACAGGCATGAAATTACAGAGCTAAATCAAAATGCTGTAATTTAGCCTGTAGTCGAAAGAAAAAGATTATGTTTAAAAACAGCTACACTATTAGATAGTAGATAAAACATTGGGTGAAATGGCCCAAGAAGAAGGTCAGTCATCTCTGTCGACAGAGGAGAGATATTCGTATATCTCATATTTATCCTCAACCTCATTTTAATGGAAACATCTTTTATTCATGCAGGGAAAATAAGGGGAAAAGGGGCAAAATGAAGAGAACTAAATGCTTGCAAATAGCTAACTGTGTTACAGAACGAACACTGTCACTTCCAAAAGCCATCAGGATTTTAGGTTTCTCATTAATACTGAAAACTGAACAAGCGCATGAGTCCCCAAAATTTCCTCCAAGTGTTTATCTTACATTGTTTGCATAACTGTTAATGGCTCTTGTGCCGTGACACATCACTCCTTAGTCTCTTCAATATTATATTCCCTCTACGTAAATCTCACTAGTATTTATTCACTGGATAAAATGTGGGTCAAGCACCAGAATCATACTATTCTGGTTCCCATTCAAAATTTGAAGTGATTCAACTATGGCATTTTTCCTGGAGAACTCATCGATTCTCTTAGTTTAAAAAGGAAGAATGCTCTAATCCCAGGGAACAGTTAACTACAATAATAGGGGGTCATCCAGTTTTTAGTAGTGATTGCCATACAGATCTTAAATAATACCATACAGCCCTTAGGGCAAAGAGGGTGATGCAAAGTTTACTACCTAACATTTCAAGGCATTTTTTACAGTCCAGTCGAGATGTCATGCTCTGCGGTAGACGGTGTGAATGTGGAACTAACTCTTTCTAATTTTTCACGATAAAGAGCTGGACATTTTTTGCAGATGTGGGATGCAACATGCTTTCGGAAAAAGGCATAAAGATATTTCCTAAATTTTTCTCCGACAAATACATAGATCACAGGGTTGATACAACAATGGATCATTGAAATTGTTTCTGTCACTTGGATGGCTTTCCCCAGTTGACCACTGATTTCACAAGTATTGAGGGAAAATGAAGGTTGAAAGGTATACAAAAAAGAAGTAATATTAAATGGTGCCCAGAAGATGAAGTAAAAAATCATAATCACAAAAATAAGTCTGACTGCCTTCTGTTTTTTCTCATTCCTGCATCTCATTAACGTTTTTAGAATTTGGGAGTAACTGAAAATCATAATGATCATGGGGACAATAAGTCCCAGTATGTTCATTGTTAAAGTATAGAAGTATTTCCAATTTATGTTGTCACCTATTGGATAATGAGCACTGCATGTATAACGTGAAATCTCCTTTTGGCTTTTGTGAAAAAAGAAGCCTGGGAGAGAGACTGAAAGAGCAACAACCCACGTGACAGTGCTGGTGAGGATGCCATAGGTAACTGTCCTGGCTTTTAAAGCAAACACTGCATGCACTATGGCCAGATACCTGTCTATGGTCAACAGGATTATGAAAAAGATCCCACTGTAGAAGCCAAGGAGGTAGACGCCTGAGAGAATTCTACAGAGTGCGTCTCCAAAAATCCACTCCTGGGCGGCATAATAAGCCCAAAAAGGGAGGGAAAATATAAACAGCAAATCAGAAATTGCCAAATTGAGCAGGTAGATGTCGGTCATGCTCTTCAGTCGCTTGTATTTTACCAGGATAAGGACAACAAGCACGTTGCCGATGAGGCCGAATATCACCACCAAGGAGTAAAGCGGTGGCAAAAATTTTCCTGCAAAGTGCCTTTCCTCGGTATTCTTGCATGCTGTTGCAGCACCATAGTCAAATTCTGTTGTCAGTAGCAAGCTGTCTAAGTCGGTCGTGTAGTTTTCCATCTCTAGAAAGGAAGAAAAGGAGGTTTAGCGGCAGGAAGCTCCATAGCCTTGCGTTGAAGGGAATGAAGCACGTTGCTGCCCTCATCTAGATTACTTATGGCTCTTGAGCATATAAGCCTTGCTTATGCTAAGGTCTAGAAGAAAATGGAAGTTGCAGAGCGTGCGCGCGCACACGCACGCACACACGCGCAAATCTCTATAGCCATGAGTCAAGTTGCTGCATGTTAGAAGTGTGCTACATGCTATTTTCCACATGTGCTCTGCATGGTCCGTTTTTCCTCCCCTGGAGAGCGTATCAGGCTTCGGAGCCAGCTGGAAGCAGAGGAACGATGAATTGAACACTAGCAGTGGTTAGTTTGGGGCCGTTGCGCTCAGCAGTGGCTTTCAGAAGAGCCAAAGAGAGACAGGAGGGGGAAAGCGCAGTGGCTGGCATGCAGCGCGTGGCCGTGCTTCTCCTCAGCAGCCCGGCCACGTTCACATCGTGCAGCCCACGCTGCGGCCCTCACCCAGGGAAGGCCGGGCGCTGGCAAAGGTGCTCTGGCACGAGTGAGAGCTGACTGACTGCTGGGTTGTCCATGCCTTGCTGAGAGCCTTAATGTCAGTGGGAATGAGATCGCTGGTGGTGTAGAAATGATCTTGCTGCAGCACCAAGAATACTCACCCAGTGAATCTGCCATCCTGGCTGCTGCGGAGCTGGCAAGTAGGCAGTGTTGATCTGGGATGAAAAGGCAAATATCATGTAGCTCTGGAATGAAAGTTGGTTGCAGGTCTTTCCCCTGCAGAAAATACCAGACACATTTAACTGGTGACCTGCATGGAAATTCACAATTGAAAGAACAGGTAGGCAAACAGCTTCTAAAATGGCATAAAAGATTTCAATTTCTGTCAGCGTGGCTATAAATCTGTTGCAAAAGAAAAGGAAAAAGAGGTAGTGCATTTTTAGCACACCCAGGGTTTTATGTGAGCGTACTATTCCGGGTTCTACAAGAAACTACTCTTGGGTCTTGGTACTTGCTCATTTCCAAATTTTATCTTATCTTCTGTGAAAATGCAAATTTTTTGACAGGTATCTGTGGGGCATCTTTCTGACAATTGATACACCTCCTCAGTGCTGTTTTGATTAATTGGTTTGGTTGATCTTTAACAGCCCTGATTCAGTAGCTACAAAGTTTACTTTTGCTCAGTGTCTTCAAGGGAGAAGAAAGCTGAAAGGGGAATTTAGCCATCACTGTGAGGAATATGCACTAACATATCCTCACATGTGTCTACTTTTTGAAGTAGTCCTTCATCATTTGTAAGTTACCGCTTCCAACAAGAGGACATAGTAAATGGGGATGTATAGGAGTTACCCAAAATCTCTACATCTCCAGTTTTTGTTTGTGGACGGTAGGAAGAAATGAGTTTCCCTGGCATGAAAAAGTCAGTGTGGAAGGTAAGTAGCAGGGCAGAGCTGTGAACGCCTTTGTGCAACTTCTGTTATGGTGTGAGCAGGTAAAGGGTTGAGAGTTTGATGTAAACCCACATCCCACCCCACCCCAAACCCACTGGTGGGACTATCAGCCAGATGCAGAAGCATAGCTTTATGTAATTTCATCTCCAAAAAGTAAGGAGAAATTTCTTTTCACCAACTCCTGGAAAAAATGGAAGAACTTCTATGGGTTCTGTGGGAAGCAGGGAATAGGATTTTGTGAAGACAGGTGGAAGAGGGACCAAACTGCTTCTCAGTCACTTAATGGGAAAGTGAAAACAGTGCATTTGGTAGCTACTCAAATAGAGCAATTTGCTGAAATCTGTATTTCTGTCTGGGAAAAATTTGCTCCTTTTTCCTCCATCAAAATGACTGCTTTTATCAGGCATTGTATTTTCATGGCGGATGGATGGCTGTTCTCTTGATGAAGGCAGCAGACCGCTTCCGACTCAGGAGACTTCAGGCACTAAATTTGCCCCAACTTGTTCTAGGATCCCTGACAACTCATGTAATGCAGTAGTGCTTGCTCTTTTCCTGTTTGCAGCCCCCTAAACACTTTTTCAGTGGGGTTGTATACCCTGTACAATGCACTTATTTTTGCAGACCTCTTTGGCAGAAGTTGTTGCTAGGTGGTTAGGAGTTCAGAGGCCACTTTCTCAAAACCACCATGTCACTCTCTGTCCACTTGAGTTCTGTAAGACTAAATGTAGCTGAAAAAACTCAGCTAATAATTGAGGTGACATACAGGCATGCCCTTAGCCTGTGTTTTGGTAGAGGCCAAACATAATAACCACAGTGGTCTATTTTGATCTACAGCATGTAAATTTTCTGAAGCATCTCAGTTTATGTCTGGCCACTCAGCTGTTTGAGGAAAGGACTATTTCCTGCTACGTAATTATAGACCACTCATGACAGGGAAAACCAGTCTTAACCTAATCTGCGCCTTTATCTCAGTGGGGAGAGAGATACGTATATACACACACACATATATATATCATACAAATAATCTTAATGAACAAATTTTACTGATTGCACAATGTTATGTACAGTTTTCTGTGACCCTGTGTGTATACACACACACACACACACACACACACACACACACACATATATTTTTACACACACACACACACACACATACACACACACACACACACACGCTCAGTATATACATAAATAACAAGATAACAACAATCTTTATTACCTGGTTTGGAACTTAGTTTGAGAATTACAATCCACAACAAAAAAAACTGTAGGAGTAGCAGAGCTAAGGGTAACTGATTTCCTACTGATTTCAATTCTTTGCTGCCCAGATCTTTCACCGTCCCACTACTAAAATCAAGCTTCTTCCCTGTACAAGCCACATTCATGTGGCTCAGAAACACATCATGCGCTGTGGTTGTTTTGTTTGCTGCCTGTGACCTGATGGGAAATCTCTGAGGATCTGGTTGGAGTAGAAGTCAGATTTGCTCCTTTACAACAAACACAGAATAGGAAAATATTTTCTAAAGTGCTTTCTAAAAACTTCCTTATCTTACGCACATAAACATAGTTAATCATGAAGAACTCCAGAAAACGGATCTTGCTAACAAATTCCATAGGAAACCACTGTTTGCATTTGATTTTTTTAAATTTATCTTTAATCCTCTTTCCAGTTTTCATTTTCATGCAGAGATGAATGTTTTCTGCTAAAACTGCAGACCTTGACAAGGAATCTGGTTTGGCTCTAAAATAATCTAGGTATGAACCTTCAGAAATAGGTGTGTTAGTAAAGGAACCTCCAGATTTATATACTTTCTTGTGCTGTAAGTATATACAGGCTTTTTTTGAGGTGATTCTGATTTGGGGACTAGCAGTTATATGGCTTATTTACCTCTTATTTTTCTTCTGAAATTACAAACCAGTCTTTGGGGAATCTTAAGGATTTTCACTTGCAGGGCTTTCTTGCTGGCTTTACAACCGCATGAGGCTATCAGTGCCTAACAGTCCTGCCCACACACCCACAGTTAGAACATGCACAAGCTAGCTTTGGTTGCTAGCAGAAATTCTGGGCATTCCTTCTGCCATAGGGGGCAACCGAGTCAAACCTAAACTAGAAACTTAAGGGGAATTTTCTCTCCTTTCTCTTCTAATTTATCCCATATGTTTATCATGCAAAAAAGTCTAAACATATGACGAGTCCAACAGACAGCCCCTCTCATTTCCTCACAGTGGACTGGTTATGTTCTGAGTGTCCAAGAAGTTCATTCAGTGCACTGTTGCATGGCTTAGGCCTTTAGTCGTGTTTGTGCGTTGGGCCTTGCTGGGAGCCAAATGCCTGCACCCTGTGAAATAGCTGCGAGGCAGACCAAAAAACTGCTCCAAGCCTGCCAGTGTTGCCCATGGCTATAAGAGCACATGCTATGGCCTTATTTTGATATGCCTCATCTATCATTCATCTGGTCATATACTCAACGTTCCCCTTGTGATGGCAATCCTGATACCTACTGCCGGTCTTCATAGCTTGTGTTCATCAGTACACATACCTACAGGGCCATAACAGTCCCTCCCACAAAACAATAGATTAAATTAGAAATGTTGGCCAAATCTTTCAGTCTTCTTTTCTGGTCCAAATCATTGTTGAACCTCAGGGATATTCTTTCTTGAAACCTATTTACAACTGATTGAAATTGGAGAGATGAAACTGAAGTTCTTGCAGGGAAAATTTGAGGTTACGGCTTCGAGGGGAGAAAATGTGAATTTCTTAACAAGTTTAATGCTTTGAGCCAAAATGGATTTACTTGGATTTCATTGCGAGTTATAACAAAGCTGCGCTCACTGCAACATCAGAAATTCTTGTAGTGAAGATGTAGCATTGAATCATGACTTTTTAGATTTCTGCATTTGGACATTTGGGCTTCTTTGAGAGATGTCTTGTTAGCTCTTGAATATTGGTTGATATCTACAGGGTATCATCTTTTTCTATAGGCATGTCTAAGGGCTGATATGACTAAGAGACATTCCCATATTTCTGTAGTTCAGTCTCAGGGACCCAGAGGTGCCACACTGACTCATTCAGGGATGGCAGTCATCACAGCTCATTGCTCAGTGAACCTGCTTAGCCCTAAAGGGGTTCTGGACAAAGTTTTCTCACATAAATCAAGACATTCAATAACTACAAGACAGAAGAACAACCACACATTAATGGAGTCACTTACCTCAAAACTGAATGACCCCAAAAGTTTCCTTTCCCTTTTCAAGGTCCAAGATAAAGTTTTTCTTTTCAAATGTAAAAACAGGTAACACAGAGCTATCCCCTGCACTTGCTCTCTTCCTTTTCATAAATGGCAATATTTGTCACGTAGAAGAAGAAATGACTTAATGACGTGTAGTCAGTTTAAAAGTATGTGTCAGTGGCATCTAGGGCACTTTATGAAGAGATATGGACAGAATGCAGCCCAGAATAAAACTGAAACCTAAATAAAGGAAAATAATACCGTAATAGCAGATGTTGCAAGAGAGATGCCAAATGTTTCCTGCCTATATCTCTGTCCCATTAACTTTGCCTTGGCTTTTCCAGAAGGAGTCTCTGGACAGGCAGAACTACAGAAGAGACTATGCATGGACCAAAGACAGCTTGGGGACCAAACATTTGCTCACGCTTTTCTTGAGTTACCAACAAAGCTGAAGGAAAAGATAGAAGTATAAACTAAATGCTGTATGTAAGACTCTGAGGTGATATTTTTCCTCAAACACATCTTTTTATGTGGTACAAACCAAGCCACAATCCCTTCCAAAATTAAACCTCCCTTTGAAAACCTCTTCTTCTTTCATAACAGCTGGGCTTTAGAAACACCTTCTCTTCAGATTTGCTTACCTCCCACCTGATTCATTTTTACATTGCTGCAGAACTTTCAGGGAAAAATATGTTTGGGGCTGGAAAAAATACAAACTTAATCTTCTGTAAACCCTTAGTATCCTGTTGTTTCTGTTCCCATCAAAAGCAGAACAGCAGTCTTGCAAAAATTCTGAGCTTTTCTGCAGTTGAACAGAGTCAGCCTATGTCATCACAAGACAAAAGAAGTAATGAGTATTCTTATCTAAACAAATGTAGTGTAAGATAATGGCATAAAGCACTTGAAATAAGCACTCTGAGAAAGAGAAACTGAGACAGAAAGACATTAAATTTCTCTTCTCTTGTGTAGGCTAAGTCCTGTGCTAGTATTGCTGTTCAGTTTTTCTTCAAGCAACTGCTTCAAATAAAACGTTGAACTCGGAATAACTCAAACAATAGTTGTACTCACAACTGTTCCAGGGATGAACTAGCATATAATAAAGACAGATAATGGCCTGCAGTGGAGATTCCCAGCATATGTCATACGGCCGTGGCCATCCTACCCTTCTTGCTATAAGTGTCTCCGCACAGAGAAGTTTGATTCCACTGCTTTGGCTGTGTGAATTGTTCCTGGCAAATTACAGTGGAATTCTGCTATGAAAGCAAATGTTGCTGCTGTCGCATATTTGATATACTGCAAAATAAGATTCGTATTCTTAGACTACTACAGCTTTTTTGGTAATACCAAAGTGGCAAGTTTCATTTATCCAAGCAGGAGAACTCACCTTTCCATGTGTGCAAGAATGGTGCAGTTTCAGCATAGTACTGATGGATTTTATTAATCCTCACTAACATGAAATTGCAAGCCAGATCATGATAGGCCATAAAACTGATATTCCTAGTTTGGATATGGACTACAGACTTTCTAATGTGATGGCCCTGACACTAAAAAAAAAAAAAAGAGGAACGAATCCCAGAGCACCCTTCACACCAAGATAATGAACCAGCACTTTTAACGTATTAAATGCTGGAATAATACAAAGAAACTAGGCGAGGTTGTGATGGGTTAATGATGAAGGACATCTGCCATCTGCATCTGATACAGCTAGATATGACTTAGATTTGCCAAGGTTAGATTAAATGCGAATAATTTTATATCTAAGTAGTTTCTATCCTTAGAGGAAGATGTTTTCAAGTAACTGACCTGGAACAGTTTCAAATCCAAGGTCCAGGAAGTTTCTAGTACAAAAAATTTGACAATTTTCTACACCATTTGTCCAGTTTAATTCTCAGCTCTAACACTTACCTTAACCTGGGCTCTAAGCTATTTACAGAATCCAGTCATTCTTAAAAATAGTGTCTGTGCTTAAGTGGTAGCTCTCCTGCCACTGTAGTTAGGCATATGCACTTCCCCGCTTAATTAATCTATATCCATATGTAAACATTTACATGTAAAAGAAAGAAAAATGAACTACTCACTCATTTACCAAGCCTGTTTTATCTGACCATGTCTTCTCTGTGACTGAACATGTAGTTAAATGCTATCTTTCAAAGTAGGAAATAGCACTTCCTGTGTGATGTATTACAAAACTTTTACAAGAAGCAAGAGCATGGTTCTTCTTTTCTGAGAACGTTCAGTTTCCAGGTTGAGTTCAGAAGTGAGGGATGAAGACTTTATTATAGACATCACTCTTTCTATTCCAGCTGGAATTTAGTATCTAAAGTAGCACATTTCTCTTCAGAGTTAAGACCGTTAGGTTCAATTCAACAAAATTATGTCCTTGGATCTATAAGTATTTGTAACTACTCTGGATATTTCTGCAGCTCAACAGAAAGTAATATGAAATGTTTGACATATAGAATTTGTGCTTTAGAAATTAAATTCAGATCTTCAAAATAAGTCCACCACGGAATTTTTCATATTCATGGTTTCTGGCTGACTTTGACATAATCTGAACCTATCCCTGATTCTTTCTTTCATCGTTAGTAGTAAAAAAGAATCTGCAAGCAAAATTAGAATATGTTTATACCCTGCAAAGCAATGTAACAGCATCACACTTGCCTCTGATGTTGTAAAGAGAGACAAATCAAAGTCCTGAAAGGAGCTCAGCTATATTAACATAGAGATGTTTCAGCACTAATTAGGTCTAGCAGAGCACTGTGCTGATAAAGCTATCTTCCTTGCAGTTATGAGATCAGCTCATGCAGTCTGCACCACAACTATAGTGCATGCTGTAGGCCCCTCCTTGAACATCAGTATAATTTTTGCAAAGGCATTTTTAATGGTTTGGCAGTTCTAAGAAGCTGTTGTATGCGGTAGGCTGGAACCACAGTTCATTATCTTCCTGATGTGGTGACATTGCAGGATTGAAAGCAATAGAAAGAGATGAAAATAACGGAAAGTAGCTAAAATATATTTTTGCTTCAAAGGCAGGAAGTGTAGTTGAGTGTACAGACTGGTATCACACATTTGTTTTTTTTAAAACAGTTGCCTCACCAATGCCTTTGGCACTCCGGCTTTGGCAATCTCCAGCTGTTGGAGTGGCAATTGATGCTTATATAAATGATCATTATAAACCAGAACTGGTGAATAATTTGACCATTTATCTGCTGCCATAAAATGTTATAGTAAGTAATAGCAAAGCCATATTTTTCAATTTTGCCTTTTTTTTCATCTGCAACTATTAACAATTTTCTCTAAGACTGGCTGGTGGTTCACTGCAGTATTCCTGGAATAACTGTTAGGCTGGCTTTTGCTACACTTAAGCTGGGTTTTGTCATTTCCTGGAAAATCTATGTGGAGTTTCTATAAAACCAATGATATGTAACCATGTATGTTCCAGATATGTAACCGCGTATGACCACGTATGTTCCGGGGAGTATAAAAAAGACTTGCAGAGCTGTGAGCTGTAGCAGAAGAGGCACCTGAGCAACAAGAGGAATCTCTGAGATGACTGAAAGAAAATAAACATTTCCCGTTGATTTGGGAGGGACTGGGTAGATTTTGCAGCAATACAAACTGCAAAGCACTGGAAGGCTTCAGTATGGGAAATCAAGCCTGAGCAGAAAGGACCTTCCCTCGAGGGACATGGTGGGTAACAAGAAGACGTAACCCCCATTTTCTTTTTAACCATCCCATCTCCTTCTGAATTGCTGCCTAAATTTGAAAATTTCTTTCTTTCACTGTTTAGGACAACTCTTTTTACTCAATGTACAGGTTGCTAGTTTGGTCGCGATAGATTTTTGCACATTGATGTTTACAAGTGTAAACTTTGTGGACTGCTATGCTTGATAAAGAAAAGTGTGGCTTGCAGGATCAAAACTGCTGCCTAAGGCACCCTGCTTTTTCTCAGCTCTCAAGAGCCAGACTCCTTTGGAGCCGATTGCCTGGGGCTATGGGCAAGTGTAATTGTCAGGGTCTACCAAAGGGTACCTTACCCCCTTCTCTCCCTGTGCTATGATGCCCAGGTTTACCTCTATGTTTTTTGGAGACTTTCCGGAGTTGCCAATCATCTCCTTCATGTTGCTTTATCTATCAGTTTGCCCAAGTAAAGAGCAGTTACAGTTAAAACTGGCAGAGCTAACATGCAAATGACATTAGAATTTGGTTTTGGAAACTTAGCAAGTGCAGTACTTTGGGCTTGACTCCTTCCCATGCAGAAGGAGAAAAAGGCCTAGTTGTGTGGAGAGTAGACTCTGTAGATGGTATGTTAAAGATATGTGGAAAAGAAATCTATACAAACCTGTAAGCATCCATTGATTGGGGATATAACTGCAATAAACTTTGAAATCTCTTGGGAATGGATAAATTCGCATTTTCACTTTCTCTTTTACCCAGACCTGTCCGTGGAAAGAACACAGAAGAGGTCATCCTTGGAAGACTTATGTACTAGTTTCATGACTCTGTGAGGTAAGCAGATGTCTTGGGTTTGGCATAAGACATAGGGCTGATCCTTGCGATGTGGACTGGGTGACTCATGGTTCACTTCTCATTTGAGAAAGAAAGTACACTTTTGCACATGCTGTTTTGAAAGAGTTCTAATTCTTTATGCCTCTGATGTGAGATTGAAAACAAGTGGACAGTGTTTTCGGGCTGCCTGAGCTCCCATGGCTCTGACTCATGAAAATTTCCCTCCCTTCCTCCCTCTCTCTCTCTCCTTCACCCCCTTCCCCCTCCTTTTCTATAGCTGTAAGGGACACTTCCAAATGACATAATGTAAACTGTGTAGGTTTTAAGATATGTAATATTTTACATATATAATATATATAAGACAGTATGGGATATGTATTTGTAAGGCTAAGTAAATACTGTATTATAATTGCAATGATATAATATTGGTGAACAAAGGCTATATTGAATTAATAAACTGTGGCGTCCTAAAGTTTTTCATGAGGCCACATGTACCATGCATAATTAATCAATGTCTATATAAAGAAGATAGCTTGGAGATTAAAGGTATTTTTCAAAAAAGCTCCTTATGCTGATTTCATATTGCTTCTGCTGTGCAGGATTGGGAATATCAAAGCACTTGCTGAGATGTTTTGTTCTTAACACTAATTTTGATTTTCGTAGTAGTTTGCATCTCACTTGGCTTTTGCTGTGCAAACAAAACTCCCTTTGTGCATGTTTAAATGATTGTTTAGAGATGTGAACTTCACTGCTATAATAAAGCTGAGAAGCCTAAATGATGCGTTTGAAATGTTCCTGAACAGTGCAGAGCTCTGGCTGCGGCTGTATGTATTCTCTTCCTCCAGAGATCCCAGCCATAACTGAAAAGTAATTGCACCACATCTCTGGATGTAGCTACAATAGCCATTTGCGTTGTTTCCTGAAACAAAGCAGTGCTTGCAATAATAGTGGCCAAACTGCTCACATCCCAAGAAGGAGCTCTTCCAGTCTGAAACCGTGGCAGTAACAATGGTCTCCAGGTCCTTGGCTTGCTGTGGAGCTGGAAGAGTTTTTTTGTTCCTTTACAATAAGCCTTCTGACGTACGAGTACGTGACTCAGCAGAATTGGATGAAGTTCAGGAAGACTAAGGTGATTTATACCCAGGAGGCCAGCAGATGTGGGACAGCTAGTCGCGCCTGCCTCTTCTCTAACGAGCTGTGCCAGAAGCCACTGTAGAGCCCTGGGATTCCGTAACCCCCTGGTCTGGGCAGTTCCTCACCACTGCCAAAGCACAGACGACAGCCGGTCCTGACTGTGGCTGACCAAGGCCCCAGATTGGGCAGGATCCATACTGTCCCTTCGCCACCTGTGGTCTCACAAGGATCCAGCCTGTTGGCAAAAGGAATGGATAAAAGCCATGCCAACTATAATAGCCTCTGGGCTGGGCAGACAGTTCTCTGCCTGGTAGATGTGGTTTGCTTCAGAGTGTTGTACTGCACAGGGTTAAGTCTATGGCTGTATGTTCTTGCCACCTCTTTCCGAGATCAGAGCTGATGCCCTCTTACTCACAAGGAGAACCTGGGCTATGGGATGTACATTGCTTTTCAGATATGTTTTACAAATTCCATTGTATTAACATGGAATAGGATGCCAAGATTAAGGAAAAATATATTGCTTTGTCAGCATCCATAAATTTTGACTGCAGTTTAATCAGCAAACCACTTTTGGTTGTGACGTGATTTTAAAGCTCTCTGTAGTAATATATGTTAATACTGATTGGCTAACTTTTACTGTATGCTTTTGTAGGGTTAATTCAGGAATTGTCTGGAAAGGCTTCCTGAAAAGGGATATGAACCCTGATCTGTCCCTCTGTGTCTGAGGACATAGGCAGCAATTCAGTCTGGGCTGCCATAGGGCAGAAAGAAGTCAGGTTTCCCTGCCTTTTTTCTTGCCTTCTTGAGCATGTCAGTGTGTGTGTTTAAGTCTGGGATCTAAAACGTCTGCTTGAAGGGAAGCAGAGATTGTTGCAGAAAGGGCTGTAGGAGAGGCTATTTGGGAACGGACAAGAACTTGACAAGTTTTGTAGTTTTTCTCAAGAAGTAGGAGGATTTTCAGGAAAATGCAGTTTCATGCCAACCAAAGCTGTTTACAAATTCAGGTCAAATAAACTGTTCTCAAGAACACAAGAACAAAATGAAGAGCTGGATTCATAAAACAAGCTAAGGCAGCTCCACTTTTAACTAACCACACAGTAACGAAGTCAGTCACCAAAAGCAGGAAACCTAGCTTCAAATTCTTCTGCTACAGGACATCAGCTCCTATGCCTCCAGTATGCCCATAACCATCAGGCTGCAGCAGAAAGTATTCTGGGATAAAATACTCTTTCTTCTGTTGATGCTAGTCTCCTTTGGATAGGACGCGTACATATTTATAGGCCTACTGACAAAGAGCGAAGGAGCATGATTCTGCAACAGAATTACCCCAGTTGTAGACCAGACTCTGGATCCACCCCATGAGGAATTTCTGCCTAGGTTCCACTGGGCCCCAGCCATGTCTCTTGCATGTGAAATCTCACATTTCTTACCATTTTTTAGGGCACCATGGGGGCTGGTGGCTCCCCAGGGCCAGTATCGGTGGG